TTTTCGGGTTTATATATATATATATATATATATATATATAAAATCTATTTAAAGAGTAAATTTATCTAAACTTACTTTTTCTTATTTGTTTCAGGAGGAGTAGGAAGAGAGGAGATTTTATTAATCATGAAGATGAAAATTAAAAGCAAATGATAGTGTTTGTTTTAATTGGTTTGGTTTTATGATGTTGTTCTAGTATCACATTGTGAATTTAGATGATGTTATTCTAGCATTATATTGCATACTATTGACAATTACTTATAGGGATGATGTTAATTTGTTTGAAATTTTCACTTTAGTGCTTGTTTGAATTAGTTTATATGTGTACTAACTTTTCTTGTTATAATACTTAATAAATAGATGTTAGACTCTAAGAGATTTATGCATTCAACCAAAAAGTTTAAAGGAAAAAAATCTATACAGGCTAATATACCATTGATTATACCATCATCTAGTCTACAAGCTTATGCTAATCAACCTCAACCCACTTATTCTCAACCTCTACCTCCACATCAATTTCAAGCTCCACCTCCTCTCCCTCAACCTCCCCCTCCACCTCTACCTCCACCTCCACCCACCTCAACCCACCCAATCTCAACCTATCTCTGTTCAAGTCATTCATATGCCCGAATATTCAACAGTTAATGAAACTCCATCTTCTTCATCTAGTCATGTTAGTGGAGACAATAATGAAAACAAAATCTTGATACTCCCAGAAGGGGATGGGTGAGTCATTTTAATTTATTGGCATATGATATGAATTTTTGTTTGATATTTTAATTAATTATCATTTTTTATTATTTTACATAGGTTTGATCAACACAAGTTGGTAATTGGGGCACTTGCTTCAATCATACGAAGTAACTTGGGGGAGGCAAAACCATCATGGAAGAAGCTATCTATCGGTCAAAGGGATTCGTGGTTTGATATGCTTCAAGTAATCAAACTTTAAACTTTTATTAAAAAGATTCCATTTTGAATATTTGCCTAATAATTTTTTTTCATTTTTATCAAAACCAATGTAGTCAAAATTTACATGGCCACCTGAATATAATGACATGGTGCGACGTAATTTTGAGAAAAGAGGTGCAGCTAAAATGTCTCAATTAATGCAAGAAGTTCGAAAGGATTTAGAGAGAAAACCAATTTGGATAGGAGAAGATGTATGGGCACACTTGAAGGAACATTGGAGATCCTTAAGTTTTAAGAAAAAGTCAGAAGTAAATAAAAGAAATCGTGAATCTGTGAATGGTGCATCTCTTCATACCGGTGGATCAATTCCTCACCGTTTGCATTGGAAAAGAATGGTATTATTAATTTATTGTTGTTTTTTATAATTTAGTTCTTGAAATTAATATCACTAAATCTTTTTTTTATCAATGCAGAAACAGGAAAAAGGAATGGATCCATCATTAAGTGAGTTTTATTTTCGTACACATCGGAAAAAGGATAAAAGTTGGGTGGGTCATCATGCAGAATTAACATTTGTAAGTTTTTTGTTGCTGATTTTTTAGAATATTGGGTATGGAGTAAGGATATTGGGTATGGAGTAGCCTCCTTCAAAATCTGGAAATTTTCTACATGACCAGGTTTATGATATAGTGATATTTTAAAAATTTAAGACACAATAGTTATTTTATGTCTTCCTTTTAAAAAAGGAGAAGTGGAGACTTTTTGTTAGTTCGAGTTAATTTTATTATACAAATTTCATTGGTAGGACAAATTTCAATAAAGGAAATTTGAGTTATCATCTCAAAGGGAGGATGGAGTTGATAGCCAATCATCTATAAATCATCATATGTCTTCTGACTTGGATATATGGGTAGATTTAGTTGGAAAGAAAAATGGAAGGATCCCTAGTCTTGGATCTTTAGGCAAAATGTTGACTCCATCAAGATTTTCTACTAAATATGAGGATGTGTGTACTTTAAGGGGTCAAATTCAGGCATTAAATGAATCATTGCAAAAACAAGAGGAAGTGAAGCTAGCAATGATGCAAGAGTTGCAAAGACAAGAAAAGGATAAGCTAGAAATAAGACAAGAGTTGAATGAGACATGGAAACATTTAGTAGCTTTAATGACACATTTAGGATTTGTTGGCTCTTCTTCTCATCCACCTCCATCACTGGAACATAGCTATGGAAATGTTGACAATGATGATGATGATGAAGATAGTGATGAGGAGGGTGATATTTGAAAAAGGTGTATTACCTCATATTCTATTTAGTTTCTTGTCCTAACATATTTGATTTGTGTCTTGAATGCAATAGATTAAATCTTTAGTATTTTTTTTTCAGTTGTGAGTGTTATTTAATTTAGTGGTTTTTTATGATGACATTGTTATAATGATTAAATGAGATCTTGACCTTTTATGCTTATAAATCAGGAACTAACATGGACTGGAATTAGACTGAAAAAGTTTCAGCCATCTTGCTTTGAGAAGGTTATTGTCATTGCTCAATTTTTTTTTGCTTAGTTTTGATTATGATGATAATAGGTTTAAACTTAAAGAGTTCAGGAAAGTTTTGGTCATCCAAATTTGAGAAGGTTCTTGTCATTGTTTAGTTTCTTTGCTTGGTTTTGGTTAATAATGTGATGACACACATTATCAAGTACATCATCAATGTTTTACATTCTATGATATGGGTATTGAGTTTATATATGCTTCAGTAGTTTATATATGTGCTTTCTTTTTGTTATAATGGGCCTTGGTGGTTAATCAATGTTTTCACTAAACCTTGAAAAATTATTTATGTACTTGAATGAGTGAGTTAAGGGCTTTGAGTATGATTATCAAAACAAATTCTTGTCTTGAATGAACTATGCAGTATGCTTTAAATTAAGGCCTAAAGGAACTTGATATCTATGGTGGTAAGTATGAACTTGATTCTGTTATGGAAGAAATGAAAAGGTTAATTGAAGTGTACAAATTACCCATATCAGCACTTGCTGCCACGAGTGACTATTTTTTCCTTTGGTGGCCAAAACGTGAATTTATTTGCAGGGCATCATAATATTAAAACAATATTAAAACGTGAAAGTTATAAGAATTGTGAACTTGTGGCTATTTTTTCCTTTGGTGGCCAAAACGCAAATTTACTTGCAGGGCACATAATATTAAAATGTGAAGGTTATAAGAATTGTGAACTAGCGGGGCATCATAATATTAAAAAAAATTATAAAAAATTATTTGCGATTTTTCCTAGGAAATTTACTTGTGAATTTGAAATTTTGCAGAAAATTTACCTACAAAATTTTAATTTTGCAGAAAATTTACTTGGGAAATTTTAATTTTGCAAGAAATTTACTTGCAAATTTTAAATTTCGTGGAAAATTTTTTGCAAAAATTTTGTAGATTTTAAAATTTGTAGAATATTTTTTGCAAATTTTCTAAGAATTCTTTTTCCCCAAGAAAGTTTGCTGCCATTTTTTTTTTGCAAGAAAGTTTTCTATAGATTTTTTTATAGCAAAAATTATAAGAAATTTTTTTGCAAATTTTGAAATTGGCAAGAAACAATTATCTACGAAGGTATTAGCTGCGAAAATAAATTTGTAGAAAAATTCGCAAAAAATTTATTTCCTACAAATTTTAATAAAAAATTCCTAGAAAAATCCTTAGGTAATAGAAAAAATTCTAGTAGTGCGCCACTTTTACAGTCTTATACTGACTCCAACATGGGTAAGTCTTCTTTCCTGTTTAGTAAATTCCAACCATGTACCTGCAATACTGCAATTTTAATTTGATTTCCCTATATCATTACATAAATATTAATTGATCGTGTTTTATATTTTTGCTGCCTAATTTCCCCTTTCCATTTAAATACAATTAATGCTTGTTGAAATATATATATTAAAATGATGATTAAATGGAATAAAATATTTAAAAATGACAAGTTAATTCCAATAGTAGAGCACAAAGTTCAAAACTAATAACAATGCAATCCATTCCGAAAATACGGAAGAATACTTGTGAATTTTACATATCATCAAATTGTTAAGGAAGCAATAACGCGACAAATCGTGAAGCTCTTTCTCACATTTCTCTTTAATTTGTAGTTTGAAAATGTTTTATCTAATACAAGAAAGGCTTAATTAGTATATAGTACTAGAAGGACGATATGGTAGCAGTATTTTTTATACAGATTTCATTCCATATATCCTTGTATTTACTTGTTATAAAACAGAATGATTAAACTTGCATAATTATTCTTTTAATTTGTTTTTAGGTTGAGTGGGGTTTGAACATCGAAATAACAAATAAGGAGGGAACAGTGATGGAAATAACTACATATATTATGAAAAAAGGTTTGTGTTAAAAGTCTTTTTTTAGGTGGTTTGGACGAGTAATATTGACATACGTTATGTATTTTTATTTTATGGTGTGATTTTTAGTTATTTACATAGTTTTGTAATAATAATTTCCATTTTTTTTTCTTATGTCAAGTAAGTCATTCATTAAAGATAAAGGAAACACACGTCCAAGGCAGGATTCTCGTTAGAAAAGAGCTGTCGGCTCATATAATTTACATATATTCATTTTCATAAAATTTAATTTATAATTTAAGCAATCTTATTTCTATTTATTATTTTACATTAATTTTACTCAATAATCATATTACATTTGTTGTACACCAAAAGGTTTCCATACACACATGTTTTCACATAGTAAGATATTATCCACTTTAAGTTTAAATTCTCATAGTTTTACTTTTAGCTATCTCCCAAAAAACCTTTAACAATAGAGACTTTATGTGTGTTTACAAAACTTATGTTCATTTTCTTATTCAAATCATATGGCACTTTAATTACATCCTAACAATTTCTTCCTCAAACAAAGGATTATGGTTTACCCCCTCTCCTTTTTACAGTAGAAGCTAGTCCACGAATATATTCAATGTGGTCCATAGAACTTAATCACACTTTAAGTACTTGCATCGTTGCTCCATCATTAACTCATGATACAAGTGGCTCGTAAAGCTTAGTCACACCCTAAATACTTTCATCGTTGCTCCATCGTTAACTCATAATAGTGTGATACGCCTCCTAAGTACCTCCATGTCACTAGAAGGAGAAAATATATGAATTAATCCACCATTAGGAAGACTTTTGACACAAGGGATTGAATACTCAAATCCATTTATCAACGATAATCATACTGGCCTAGTTGATCACTCAGTTGAACCAGATGGCACATCTAATTCTACTTGTTGTGCATTGAGGGTTTCCACACACGTCTCTATATTGGTAAGATATTATTCACTTTGGACCTAAAATCTCATAATTTTGCTTTTGGTCATCACCGAAAAGGCATCTTAACCAATATAGACAATTATGTATTTATAAAATCATGTTTATCCTCATGTTCGACCGATGTGGGACTTTGATTGCATCTTAACAATAGACAATTGTATGTATATAAACTCATATCCAGCTCTCTTGTTCAAACAATGTGAGACTTTAACTACATTCCAACAATCCTCCCTTCAAATAAAAAACCATGATTTACCCCCTCCTTTGCAGCAAAAGCTAATCCATGAGTATATCAATGGTGGCCCATAGAGCTCAGTCACATTTGAAGTACTTGCATTGCCACTCTTATAATTAAGTACTTGCACCATCATATTCAAATCCACCTGCTAACCATCATATTTTCCTTCCTAGATAGCTAGTCACTTGGTTGAACTATAGTCAACTTTGATACCACTTGTTGCTCCTTTGCAATGAAAGCTACTCAATGGTAGCCTATAGAGCTCAATCAAGCTCTATGTACTTACATCGTCGTTCTTATATTTGAATTTACCTGTCAACCATCATACTTGTCTGTGTAGATGGTCACTTGGTCGAATTAGTCGGCTCTAATACCACTTGTTACTACTTTGCAACAAAACTAGTACATGAGTATATCAACGGTGGGCTATAGAGCTTAGTCAAGCTCTTAATACTTGCATCTTTGCTCCTATATTCGAATCCATCAGCTTTAATGCCACTTGTTGCACCTTTGCAACGAAAGTTAGTACACGAGTATATTTATGAGGCCTATAGAGCTCAGTCAAGCTCTAAGTACTTGCATGATCACCGCTCCTATATTCAAATCCACCTGCCAATCATCATACTCATTTGCCTAGATGGTCACTTGGTTGAACCAATCACCTCTGCTACCACTTGTTGCTCCTTAGTAGCAAAAGTTAGTACACGAGTATATCAATGATGACCTATAAAGCTTAGTCAAGTTCTAAGTACTTGCATCGCCGCTCCTATATTCGAATCCACCAACTTTAATACCACTTGTTGCTCCTTTGCAATGAAAGTTGGTACATGAGTATATCTATGATGACCTACAAAGCTTAGTCAAGCTCTAAGTACTTTCATCACCGCTCTTATATTCAACTCCACATGCCAACCAACATATTCATCTATCTAGATGGTCACTTGGTCAAACCAATTGACTTTGATACCACTTGTTGCTCCTTTGCAATGAAAGCTAATACACAAGTATATCAATGATGACCTATAAATCTTAATCAAGCTCTAAGTACTTGCATCACTGCTCATATATTCAAATCCACCTATCAACCATCATACTCGTCTACCTAAATGGTCACTTAGTTGAACCAATTGGCTCTAATACTACTTGTTTCTCCTTTGTAGTGAAAGCTAGGACACGAGTATATTAATGATGACCTATAGAGCTCATTCAAGCTCTAAGTACTTGCATCGCCACTCCTATATTCGAATCCACCAGCTTTAATACCACTTATTGCTCCTTTGCAATGAAAGCTAGTACACAAGTATATTAATAATGGCCTATAAAGCTCAGTCAAACTCTAAGTACTAGCATCACAGCTCCTATATTCAAATCCACCATCCAACCATCATACTCGTCTACTTAGATGGTCACTTGGGTCGAACCAATTGTCTATGATACTACTTGTTCCTCCTTTGCAACAAAAGTTAGTACACGAGTATATCAATGATGACCTATAGAGCTCAGTTAAGCTCTAAGTACGTGCATCGCTGCTCTTATATTTGAATCCACCAGTTTTAATACCACTTGTTGCTCCTTTGCAGCAAAAGCTAGCTCTAAGTACTTACATCACTACTCCTATATTCAAATCCATCTGTCAACCATCATACTCATCTGCCTAGATGGTCACTTGGCCAAACCAATTAGCTATGATACCACTTGTTGCTCTTTGCAGCGAAAGCTAATACATAAGTATATCAATGATGACCTATAGAGCTCAGTCAAGCTCTAAGTACTTGCACCATCGCTCCTCTACTCAAATCCACTGACTTTAATACCATTGTTGTGCATTAGGATTTGTCACACACACATGTCTCTATATTGGTAAGATATTGTTCACTTTGAACTTAAGTCTTCATGGTTTTATTTTTGGTCATCACCCAAAAGACCTTTTAACCAATGAAGACAATTATGTGTTTATAAACTCATGTCCATCCTCATATTCAAACTATGTGGGACTTTGATTGCATTCCAACAATATCCTTTAACATTTTAAAAAAAATTTGATTGAGAAAAAAAACATTTTAACAAAATTTGCATTAATATGAGAATTATAATATAATTAGTATGATATGTACAAATGATTTAAATATGTATTCACTACAACAAAATAAACTTTTAGTGACAATAAAAATGATTGTAAAATATTTTACCACTAGTAAATACTCTTTTAATGTAGAGAAAAATATATGAATTTTTGTGACATTTAATATGACTTAGATTTTTCTAATACACTCCCTTAAGTCTAGTACTATTGAAATTGATAGTGATGAGTGATTTGATATCATTTTAGAATAGTGAGTTATGAGCTTAATTTAACCCTACAAAATTAATTTATAAGGTGAGGGTTGACATCTACTTATATACTCTTTAATTATCTTATTTCTAGTCAATGTAGAGCTTAAATTTTTCCCAATAAAATGAATTAAAATTTGATATATATGATCTAAGAGATAATGAACTTTCAATCTAACGGTTAAATTTTCAAAATTTACATTTAATATAAAGTTATTGAACGATGTAACACTTAGTAAAAGTTACAATGGTATCGTTTGAACCCTCCTTTTATATATATATATATTAGATAGCTAGTCACTTGGTTG